CATGGAGTATCCTGTTCACTGGTAGGATAATATGCAGAATCATCTGCTGAACGTCTAGATATCAGATATGACATATCTACCTGTGACGGTTAAAGAGATATTGCTCTCGGGTAGACATAATCTAGGGGTGTAAGATATCAGGCAACTCGCATTAAACTGAGCTATCCGAAAATATGCTTTGTTCGATTGTATGTATGGTTTTTAAATGGGATGTATGTTTTACGGCTATTCTGGAATGTGTTTCATGTCCAGTGAAGGACTGGTTTATAGCTTTTCGATCATCTCAGATTGAGAAGCTAACAGACACCCGGGCACCAGCTAATTGGGATTACAACCATGAAGTGTATCAGCTGTGTCTGATGCCCTTGTGAACCCAGCACACACACACACCACATTCCTGAGGGAGGGGGATTGGAGGGAGAGAGAATGATACAAGATTGGGAATCTTGAGCAAGATGGATGACCGCGTCCATATCTGTGTGCACAATTGCTACAAACACTGGGAGGCACGGGCAGACAGCTGTACTAAGAGTTTGCAGGAGGCCTACACTGCAACCACGATTTTTAAGTGAACTCATCCTTTAGATAGTTTGTTTGAGGTGGGTCAAATAAATTCTTTACATGGCAGCACATTCTACTCCAGTAGTTTTACATTTTCAAGGTGTAAATGGCCTGTAAGTGGAACTAAACATTAAAAAAAAAAAAAAACTGACTTTGTCCCTGCCTGTTAACATTTCTGTACACTGTCTGTCAAGTGAACCTTTTGTGATAACAATGTGACTCTCACTCACATGCACATGCATGTATTCCTGCAATACCAGGAAAAGATGGCAGTGCCCATGACTAACAGGAGAGCTAACAGCACAGTGCTGCATGGGGTCACTAGCCAGATGAATTTGCCATAATGTACCAATATATGCACATTATGGCTAAATGCTCCTGGGGCCCAATTTATTTATTTACTTGCAGAGGTTTAATTCCACTTTAAATCCCAAAAACAAAATGTAATTCATTGTGGCCTACCAATTCTTATATCTGTAGGCTGCATTGTTTTTTACTTTTTTTCTAGGTTTTTTTGTTTTATTTTCATCTGGTGATCCAGCCAGTAAAACACTTCCTGTCTTAGGGGGTCTCCATTCCAGTGAAACTAAACTTACTAGCTGGATCAACAGGTAGAAATAAAGCAAAAAGTCTAAAAAAGTATTACAGCCATCACAACTAAGAATTAGTAAGTTGCAGTATAATAAAGTTTTGTTTTGAGGTTTAATACTACTTAAAGCAGAATTTCAGTAAAAACATTTCTGTATCATTCAGTGCGGCTGTGCCCACACTGCATGGGCTAACTGCTTGATTTTGTCTAGTGGTGATAAGAGCGGAGATATATTTACCTAATCCGTCGATCCTCTGAGTGCAAGATCAGTCTCTGCCGCTTTTGCCCCCCTGCACGCTGGCGGTCTTGTGAATGGACTATTCCTGATGTTATCATGCCTGTAGACTGGCTCTGAGTGTGAGGTTGGCAGGGACAGTCCATGGCTGGATGTGGGGGAGTGCTGTTTTTGGGAGGTTTAGAAGGACTGGGCAAGTATAGCCTTTTGGGAGCCCCCTGGACAAAACAAGCAGTTAACCTATGCAGTGTGGGCAAAAGCCCACTGCATGGGACCAAAAAAAAAAAAAATTACATGGGAGTACTGCTTTAAACAAAAGCCCCTGACAGCTCCACAGAGTCGTACATATATTCAATAAAGGACAGTAGTCTGTCCTTAAACATATTAAAGGAGACAATCAGAGACTGGGGATATGCAGAAGGGTTGCTTGGAGACTGAAAAAACACTACAGGAGATAGAGACTGGGGATATGCTGCATGAAACCGCTAGAGATTACCGTCATTACACTTTGCACTACTGACTGCTAGTGGTTTGCAAAGGGCTACAAACCAAGTACCAATTGGCTTCATGTAGCCCTCAGGTCAGGGCCGAGCCATCCTATCTGTGTCAATTGATCCAGACTGGACAGCTCAGGAAGCGGCTTCCTATGGGGGCACTCGCGGAAGAGGAGGGGCCAGGAGCGCCGGCAAAGGACTCGAGAAGAGGAGGATCAAGGCTGTTCTGTGCAAAACCATTGCACAGAGCAGGTAAGTATAACATATTTATTATTTTAACAGAAAAAAAGGAGCTTTAAAGGAGAAGTACAACCAGGGTTCATTTACCTGTACATCTGTGGATCACAGTTTATTCTGCGCTCCTGTGAACCGGTTCAGCTGACAGCGGGCTAAAGTCCGCTGTTGGCTGACGTCACTCAGCTGGTCCAGGATGAGGAAAGTTTCTGACTTTAAAGTAGGTATCCACCCAGATCCCTAGACCAGCAGCTGGCTTAGCCTCTCAGTGATCCACTGAGAGCCTGAGCCAGCCCCTCTTGCTCCCTCTACAGCCCAGCGCTCCAGTGAATGCTGGGGGGCAGAGCAGAGAGGTGGAGACTGACAGTCTCAGCTCTTTGCTCAGAGGGAAAGAACTGAGCGATCAGTGGTGTCTGATTGCTCCGTTCTCACACTTAGAACTGGCGGGGGACAGATGCAGCATCGGATCATTGCTGCATCCACCTAGGTAAGTAGAATAAAAAAAAAAAAAAATATATATATATATATATATATATATATATATATATATATATATATATATATCCCTAAACGTCTCTTTCACTTTAAGAAAATGCTTTGCTATTTCCATATATAATGTAATTTACATTATATTAAAAATACTTTATTAAATCTCTTTCCTTAGCATTATTTAATATAACTCCAGGTCTTCTGCATTGTCTGCACAACTATTTATCTCATCGAAGAAAATGCCACTTAAGTAACAATTAAATCTGCAAGCTGCTTTTCTGCAGACTGAATTCTGCTAATTGGACATAAGATTGTATTGTTTTGTGTTATTGTCGAACATTATGTCTATAAAAAAGAGTTGTGTGTCACAATGATGGTCTCCAGCTAAGAAAATGATTGCTTGAACTTTGCTAAACAAGTACTTTGCTAAAGGAGCTTTGTCTTGGCTTCAATATCTTTGTTACAGGGGACTATTATCCTTTAAGAGACTATTATTTTGTTGTCACTTTTTTCCCTAAAGATGTTCCTCTTGTTGTTGCTAAACACTGCATTTGTTCTTCGTATTCACCAGAATTTGGGATCGCAAACTGCCACCCTATGTACCATGTCAAGTGTTTAGGAGTGTGTGTATGTTTTTTTTTTTTCATGTGGATATCTAATCAGACCACGTGAGGTGCTGCCTTTGCTACCCACTTTCCTGTGTCACAGCTGCACACTATTTATAAAATGTGTGCAGGATGCAACCAAGCAATGTTTTAAAATCATTTTTGCACACTGCTTACATCATAAAGCCATAGAAAAGTACAGAGTTCTGTGCCAAGAATTAGCATTTTAGAAAAAAAATGCCAAGCACAGAACTGCATTTTGTACAATCTTGTAAAGTCTTTTGAAGTTTGTGGCTTTCTATTTGAAAACATACACATCAGAGCTCAAATTTACAAAGCTCAGTTGTGGCACTTTCATTTTTTCAGTGTCTGCAATCAAATACCATGTAACATTTTTACATTTAAGCCAGTCATACATGGGTCAAATTCCAAAAGAATTTTCTTTCGAAAATCTTTTCTAAGAATTATCGTTTGAATTTCACACCATTAGTGGCAACACCAATGAACGATTTTCAAGAGACCATCGAATTTAAGTGATTAGGCATGTTGGAAATGTTTTGAAAAATGAATGAATTTTTAATCAATGATGGGAGAATCGTGCGAGAAATGTAACTGAAAAAGAAATGAGGATGAGCTGTGATCTGGACAGAAAAGAAATTTCTTGGCCACAAAAATTGTTTTCTGTAGCAACATGAGGTGAAAATAAAGGCTTCGTTGGTCAAATTTCAAAATCAATGGTGGCACAATTGAATTACAAAATGTACAAAATTTCTGAATTTCTAAAGAAAATCCGTTTGGAAATTTACCCATGTATAGCCTGCATAAGCCTCATGTATAAAGGCAAAGGGTTTGCAGACCTGAACTACCTTAAAGTGATATTAAAGACAATTTTTTTTGAAAACAAATAACAAACATGTTATACTTACCTGCTCTTCTTGGGTCCCCCGTCGATGCTCATGGCCCCTCCCTCCTGCTGAGTGCCCCCACAGCAAGTAGCTTGCTATGGGGGGACCCAAGAAGCTCGCTCCCGAGCCACTGCTCTGCATGTCCATTCACACATGGAGCCACGGCTAAGCCTTGCTTCCTATCTCTCCTCATTGGCCAATGGCTCACACACCTGTCTCATCCAATGAAGAGGGAAAGTCCATGGAGAGCCGAGGCTCTTGTGCACATCTCTGGATCATGATGGGGTTCAGGTAAGTTTTGGGGGGCCGGGGGAGCTTCTGCACAGAAGGTTTTTTACCTTCATGCATACAATGCATGAAGGTAAAAACCTTGAGCCTCTAAAACCACTTTAAAGTAGAATGCAGGGATATAACTAACAAATCATAAAACAACTCCCACCCCACTTCTAACACCTATATTAACTACCCTGTGGAAGAAAGATGTATATAATTACATATTTTCAGGACACTATGGTCCAGTGACATGATTTCCCCTGTGTCAGCCATAACTGGCTGCAGGGGAGAGGAGAGAGTGCTGCCGACAAAGGCTGGAATGCCTGAGCAGTGATGTCACCCATAATTAAAAACTTTCTTCAGTGTAAGGAACAACAAGGAGTCCTGGAAGTGATGGTTTGGCCCCCACAACATTATCGAGCCTGTCTGGGATTAAATGAACTGACAGAAGGATTTGAGGAAGCCTACATCCACAAGATGTGTGGAAAATGTTTTCAGTTTTGTTGACAGTCATGAAAGTCATGAATAAGAACTAGCAGTGCAAAACACATTTATTGTGTTTCCTTGCACCCACGATGTCTACTGTTGTAGGTCTTTAAATTTGGAGGTCTTTGTCTATTGACTCTGCAGACAGCTGGCGACTTCTGCACACTGTGCGCTACAGCATGCGCTGACCCCGCTTTGTCATTATACGTGGCCTACCACTTCATGGCTGAGTTGCTGATGTTCCCAGTTGCTTCCACTTTGCTATAGTACCACTAACAGTTGACCGTGGAATATTTAGTAGCAAGGAAATTTCATGGATGGACTTATTGCACAGGTGGCAACCTATCACAGTACCACGCTTGAATTCACTGAGCTCCTGAGAGCGATCCGTTCTTTCACAAATGTTTGTAGAAACAGTCTGCATGCCTAGGTGCTTGCTTTTATACATATGTGGCCATGAAGGTGATTGGAACACCTGAATCCAATGATTTGGAGGGTTGTCCCAATACTTCTGGCAATATAGTGTACAGTGCCTTGAAAAAGTATTCATACCCCTTAACATTTTCCACATTTTGTCATGTTACAACCAAAAACGTAAATGTATTATTGGGATTTTATGTGATAGATCAACACACAGTGGCACATAATTGTGAAGTGGAAGGAAAATGATAAATTGTTTTTAAAATTTTGTACAAATAAATATCTGAAAAGTGTGGCATGCATTTGTATTCAGCCCCCTTTACTCTAATACCCCTATTAAAATCTAGTGGACCCAATTGCCTTCAGAAGTCACCTAATTAGTAAATAGAGTCCACCTGTGTATAATTTAATCTCAGTATAAATACAGCTGTTCTGTGAAGCCCTCAGAGGTTTGTTAGAGAACATTAGTGAACAAAGAGCATCGGAACATACCAGGCAGGTCAAAGATAAAGCTGTGGAGATGTTTAAAGCAGGGTTAAATTATAAACAAATATACCAAGCTTTGAACATCTCACAGAGCACTGTTCAATTTATCATCTGAAAATGAAAAAAGTATAGCACAACTTCAAACCTACCAAGACGTGGCTGTCCACCTAAACTGACAGGTTGGCCAAGGGGAGCATTAATCAGAGGAGCAGCCCAGAGGACCATGATAACTCTGGAGCAGCTGCAGAGATGCACAGCACAGGTGGGAAAATCTGTCCAACTCTTAGTTGTGCACTCCACAAATTTGGCCTTTGTGGAAGAGTGAAAAGAAGAAAGCCATTGTTGAAAGAAAGTCATAAGAAGTCCTGTTTGCAATGTGGGGGACACAGCAAACATGTGGAAGAAGGTGTTCTGGCCAAATGAGACCAAAATCTAACTTTTTGGCCTAAAAGCAAAACGCTATGTGTGGTTGAAAGCTAACACTGCACATCACCCTGAACACACCATCCCCACCGTGAAACAGGGTGGTGGCAGCATCATGTTGTGGGGATGATTTTCTTCAGCAGGGACAGGGAAGCTGGTCAGAGTTGATGAGAAGATGGATGGAGCCAAATACAGGGCAATCTTAGAAAAAAACCTGTTAAGAGTATGCAAAAGACTTGAGATTAAGGCAGAGGTTCACCTTCCAGCAGGACAACAACCCTAAACATATAGCCAGAGCTACAATTGAATGGTTTAGATCAGCGGTTCTCAACCTGTGGGTCGCGACCCCTTTGGGGGTCAAGCGACCCTTTCACAGGGGTCTCCTAAGTATAGTATAGTACATCTGTCTACACAAGGCTTGCAGTAAGCACTTCACATAGTAGAAGGCGCCGTGTCTCCATGTCATGGCACGTGGGTCGGCAATTAGGTAGTTAGGCATCCAAGCCCCCCCCCCCCCCCCATTGTCCTCCATTAATTCGGTGTGCGAGGAAAGGCGGGAGAAAATTGTTGTGAAAAAGCAGGCGGTTATAAGCGAGGAGGAGGCCGTGCAGTACAAATGCCAGATCCGCCTGTGGGGGCTAAACCGAGAACACTGCACGACCAGTCCGTTTCTTGTACTTTACAGCAGTACTAGTCGCTGTGGGTGGACTACAACTCCCAGCATTCCCTGCGGGGCTCAGGTCTTGAGTTCTGTGCTGTGGCATGCTGGGAGTTATAGTCTCACCTGAACAGAGCTTGCAGAGAATGGTGATCCTTCCAGAGGGGGACAGTACAGTCCTGGCTTGTTTGCCATGTGAGGAGTGTTCTCCTGAAAAGCCCAGCCTAGGAGCATACACCACCATTGGTCTGCCCCAGGAGCAGGGGCGGACTGGCCCGAGGGCCCAGGGTCAGTAGGGGGTCCCATGAGATGCCCCTGGTACCTTTCAGAGGCTTTTTTGGGTGTGGTTTGAATGTGGGTGAGGACACGGGCCCCATGAGCCCCTATTGCCCAGGGGCCCCATGAGTTGTCAGTCCGCCCCTGCCCAGCAGAGCCTTGTGTGGGTAAGTGTGTTCTCTGATTTAGGTCTACTTTGTTACCTCTCTATATAAACTTGGTGTCATGGCTGAGCTGTGCCACCTGCCATTGTACTGTCCAGTCAGGTTACCTCAGCAGCCGGTAGAGACACTCTGATTGGTCAGTGGGTGGAGCTTAGCCTTGAATTAGTTGCAGCTTTGATCTAGTTAACCACTTGCCTACCGGGCACTTTTACCCCTTGTGTGCCCAGGCCAATTTTCAGCTTTCAGCGCTGTCACACTTTGAAAATTGTGCGGTCATGCAACAATGAACCCAATTGAAATTTTTAGCATTTTTCATAATAGTAGCAAAATTACAGTTATGAAGTGGCAACGAAATTAATTTTATGGTTGGGGGTCACCACAACATGAGGAATTGTATTAAAGGGTCGCGGCATTAGGAAGGTTGAGAACCACTGGTTTAGATCAAAGCATGTTCATGTGTTAGAATGGCCCAGTCAAAGTCCAGACCTAAATCCAATTGCGAATATGTGGTAAGACTTGAAAATTGCTGTTCACAGACGCTCTCCATCCAATCTGAAAGAGCTTGAGATATTTTGCAAACAAGAATGGGCAAAAATGTCACTCTCTAGATGTGCAAAGCTGGTAGAGAAATCCCCAAAAAGACTTGCAGCTGTAATTACAGCGAAAGTTGGTTCTACAAAGTATTGACTTAGGGGGGCTGAATACAAATGCACACCACACTTTTCAGATATTTATTTGTAAAAAATTCTGAAAACCATTTATCGTTTTCCTTCCACTTCACAATTATGTGCCACTTTGTGTTGGTCTATCACATAAAATCCCAATAAAATAGATTTACATTTTTGATTGTAACATGACAAAATGTGGAAAATGTCAAGGTGTATGAATAATTTTTCAAGGCACTGTATATACACTGCTCAAAAAAATTAAAGGAACACTTTTTAATTAGAGTATAGCATCAAATCAATTAAACTCCTGGGATATTGATCTGGTCAGTTAAGTAGCAGAGGGGGTTGTTAATTGGTTTCAGCTGCTTTGATGTTAATGAAATTAACAACAGGTGCACTATATGGGCAACAATGAGACAACCCCCAAAACAGGAATGGTTTTACAGGTGGAGGCCACTGACATGTTTTCCCCTACTCATCTTTTCTGACCATTTTCACTAGTTTGCATTTGGCTAGGGTCAGTGTCACTACTGGTAGCATGAGGCGATACCTGGACTCTACAGAGTTTGCAAAGGCAGTCCAACTCCTCCAGGATGGCACATCAATATGTGCCATTGCCAGAAGGTTTGCTGTGTCTCCCAGCACTCCAGACTCCTCCCGTCTCAAGAGCATGGAGCCAGGAGACAGGTATTTACTCTATGAGAGCTGGACAGGGCCGTAGAAGGTCCTTAACCAATCAGCAGGACCGGTATCTGCTACTTTGTGCAAGGAGGAACAGGATGAGCACTGCCAGAGCCCTACAAAATTACCTCCAGCAGGCCACTGGTGTGAATTTCTCTGACCAAACAATCAAAAACAGACTTCATGAAGGTGGCCTGAGGGCTTGACGTCCTCTAGTGGGCCCTGTGCTCACTGCCCGGCACCATAGAGCTTAATTGGTATTTGCCATTGAACAACAGAATTGGCAATTGGCACTGGCGCCCTGCACTTTTCACAGATGAGAGCAGGTTCACCCTGAGCTCATGTGACAGATGTGAAAGGGTCTGGAGAAGCCATGGAGAACATTATGCTTCCTGTAATATCATTCAGCATGACCGTTTTGGTGGTGGGTCAGTGATGGTCTGGAGATGCATATCCATGAAGGGACGCACAGACCTCTACAGGATATACAATGGCACCCTGACTTCCTTTAGGTATCGGGATGAAATCCTTGGACCCATTGTCAGACCCTACGCTGGTGCAGTGGCTCCTGAGTTCCTTCTGGTGCACAACAATGCCCGGCCCCATGTGGCGAGAATAGCCAGGCAGTTCCTGGAGGATGAAGGAATTGATACCATTGAATGGCCCCCACACTCGCCTGACCTAAATCCAACAGAACACCTCTGGGATATTATGTTTCAGTCCATCTGATGCTGCCAGGTTGCACCTCAGACTGTCCAGGAGCTCAGTGATGCCATGGTCCAGATCTGGGAGGAAATACACCAGGATACTATCCATCATCTCATTAGGAGCATGCCCCGACGTTGTCAGGCATGCATACAAGCATGTGGGGGCCATACAAACTACTGGGTACCATTTTGAGTTGCTGCAGTGAAATTTCAGCAAAATGGACTAGCCTGCTGCATCATTTTTTCACTTTGATTTTCAGGGTGTCTTTGAATTCAGTCCTCTGTAGGTTGATCAATTTCATTTCCAACCTTACGTTCCTAACACATTACCCAGTCCATATCAGTATAGATAGATATCCAACATATTTTTCCCCATTGAGATCTGTTGTGTTTTCAAAGTGTCCCTTTAATTTTGTTTAGCATTGTACATTGAATCAGCTTGGATCTTTCACAGAGTTGTTACACTTTGCAGGCAAAGGGGACAGTAGAGGAGTGAATGGTAGGCGAGAATCTCTCCTACAGCACACTGTGTCCTGTACTAATATAATGGTGGCAGAAGAAATCACATTGTGTAGGGCAGGCTGGGTGATGCCTTGTGTTTTAATAAAACAAGGTACTAATTACCTTTTTTTCACCTTTTTGAAATGTTACAAATTCATATTTAATTCAATTCTATGTACTGGAGCTGAGCTGAGGCTAAAAGACTTCAAGGAAGCTCTGGCCTGGTCCAAAAAATTAATACATTCTGCGTTTTTCCATACCTTTCTGCACCGCACCTTTGTTGTAGTGTGAACAGGGCACATTTTCTTTTCTATGTGCCCTTATGTAGTCCTGTGTTGATAAGGTGAAGAAAAACATCTCTGCACATAGGGATTTATTAACTAAAACTGGAGCACTCAGAATCTGTTGCAGCTGTGCATGATAGCCAATCAGCTTCTAACTTCAGCTTGTTCTATTAAACTTTGAGAATAAAAGCTGGAAGCTGATTGGTTTATAAGCGGAGCTGCACCAAATTTTGCACTCTCTAGTTCTAGTAAATAACCCCTATAGTGTGATCAAG